GTACCACTGGACTTCCACTTGACAAACTGGTACCGCTGCGCTAACTGAGATGACTGGGTCATGTTTTACGCATGCCATGCGAACGGCTGCCCCGAAGCGCTCTCTTCGCTCGCAAAGGACCAGGCTGGAAGAAATCGCGCGGTGGTCAGCCTATCATGTGGCGACAAACGGTTGAAGCGCTGACTTCCAGTTTAGCTGTAGTAGGTCCCGTGCGTCTTCCGGGCTGGGGTACCAAAGATGAAGAAAATCGCTGGCTGGAAACTCTTTCAGAGATGGCGCAGAACCGGGCCCAATGGAAAACGTGTACAAATGTTTATTTTGATTTTCTTGCTCTACATCGCAAACATTAAACAAACAACAATAGGATAAAACGGCATGTGCAAAAACAAAAAAGAAAAGACGATACAAAATTTTTTTGCAACTCATTATTTTCTTTGTGGTCTTTGTAGTTATCACTTCCTTTTCATGGTCTTCGCTGGCTCTATGTCTATCTTATAGACTGTTGATGATATATACATATAAGATCCTTTATATTTCACGGGATCAGCAAGTTTCCTTGCGTCCGCTCGCGGTACCTAGTAATTGGTGTGTATAAATGATGGCGATCATTACGCGGACGGCAACAATCGTTCAGTTTATTTAAGCAAAAATTACAATTACGCTGAATGAATTGTTCCTGAATGGTCAAAGAGGAACCTACTTCAATTGAACATAGCTAAGAGCAAGGTGCTCCATCTGCGTCAACAGTCGGTGAGCGATTACAAGATTGGAGACCACACCTTGGAGGTCTCTCAGGAGCGTGACCTGGGTGTATTGGTACAGGAAGACCTCAGGTGTTCAAACCAAGCAGAGAAACCGACGAGAACCGGCAATCAACACTTCGGTCGGTTTGAACCCCCAATATTGCCCCAAATGCTTAACATCTACGTGCGACCGCAAGTGGAATATGCTATTCAGGCGTGACAGCCGTGGCAGAAACAGGATCTCGAGACTCCTCAATGAAGGGCAACCAAGAACGTCAGGGGCCTCTTTCATCTGCCCCATCAGCTTAGAGTGAAATCTCTAAGAATGTACAGCAGTCAATATCGGCTTTTGTGGGGGATCTCATAATGGTTTACCAGCTACTGAAGAACCCAAACCACATTTGCCGTCTGCTGTTGGAATTGTACCACAACACTAACCTAAGAGGTCACTCTCTGAAACTGACAATTCAGTATAGCCGGCTTGAATGCCGTAGAAATTTCTTTTCCCTCCGCGTGTGCCAGCCTTGGAACGCCCTCCCTAATTATGTCATCTCTGCTCCCAAACTGGCGATATTTAGAAAACGAGCTAACGATGCAATGTCTCATTTACATTTCATTTTATGACTTGTTAGCGGGGGGTTACAAAACGCAAACAAACGATCTCTTGCCAAACTCCCAACCAATGAATTTATGAATTTATCCGTTTAATACGCGAACAGCTCCGCCATTCTACATAAGTCTATGGTAAGTCCATCAAAAAGCTTTTCACTTTATCATGCAATTCACTTTTCGCAATAATTGCCATCCCACGGGACTTGTTAAGCAATGTTTTTTACCCGTAATAAACCATTGTTCCATTTTTCCATAGTTTTGGCTTCTTGGTGGTTCCATAGACACCAGTTTAGACGATCACAGTGTTTAACTACGGAAGTTCTACTATACTTTTCAGGGAATCAATGCCTCCCTCTGCCTTTACTTAAAGGGTGGGATAAGAAAATTCCCTTCATGTCGTGCAAAGTTGTTTATCCAATATTCAGTGATAGAAAGATCCGGACGTTTCCTTGTCAGGCTGTTCATTCTCATCAGCACAGCTTTAAGTGGAATAACTTGCATAGTACCCGATTTATTTTATTCTTTGATAAAGACCACGACTCAGTATCTCATACCGCACTGAGGAGCAGAGACCGAGACATGACTTCATCCCCCGCGGTCGCAGAGGCAAGATCACAATGCTCCTTGATCCAACAATGCAGTCTGATGAGTAAGCGTGTGAAAACGGACCATCAGGCGATGGGGATAACCCAACATCAATATCCTAAGCTACAGCATGTTACATTAAGCTGGTCCGGAGCTAGGAGCGACTGCACTCAGGTGCTGATGTACGCTGAATTGCTAACTGTCCAATAGCGCAAATTGCTTTGCCGGCGGTGATGAGATGGCACACAGGGACGCGACATGTGTGCCTACGATCGCGGAACACACTGAGATGTTCGGCTGTGAGAACTGAACATTAGCAAACACCACAGCCGCAATGAATGCGTCATGCCTCGACCGCAGGGCAAGAACAACCCACCGCAAGTCGTTCGGCTGTGAGAACTGGACGTGAGCCAGACACCACATAGCCGCACTGAACGTGTTATGCTTCGATCGATCGGTAGTCGGCCTTCACGCAGGTGAAAAATCAGCAAAAGGGATCCCTGCCAAGTGGTTAGTGGGGCGCTGTGCTAGCAATTGAGAAAAACAGCCGGGCCGTATGTGATGATCGGTCGATGGACGCTGTATTGCTATCGCCACAAAAGCTGTTATCGCCTCATGACTGGCTTCCAACAAACCCGTAAACTTTTAGTAGGCTGCTTTCGCTGCTAAAGACAATCATACTGCCGGGAGCACATTAGAAAGTTACAGTGTTGTTCGTTTTACCACTTCGATCGCGTCTGTGTTACAGCTGAAAATGCACGCTTCATGGGTGCATAAAAACGAATTCCTGACTTGACTTGACTTGACGTGACAATGCTGTTAGCTTTCAGTCTGCCACGACGCACTGGTGACAACGTTAGGCAGCACACCAATTTAGTCATGAATGCAACTATTGCCCTCACAGTCAGACAATGGCTAGTTGTGTAAATAGATCAGGCCTTCGATGATGTTTCTCGTGTACAATGGGGAATGTACATTTATCCATTTCTTTACTTTTATTTACATGAAATGTGTGAAATGCCGGTAAATATCAACGAATTAAATGTTTGCAACATCAAACAAATCAGACGGCCTCGCACCGTTATGGAAGTAGGATCAGCTTGCGCGGTTACTCAAGAGGTAGGTAGTAATAACCATCTAAGCATTCGGCAATTCGAACAACGTTGCGAAACCACGCCGTGTGCTGTGCATCGGATGTTAAAGGAAAGAAATTCCGGCGGTACAGTGCATTTGAAGTGCAAATGTCGAACACATGCGATTCACAGAAGCGCCTGGAATTCCCCCGTTGGTTTTTAAACAGTCTGGTTAATGAATAACGTTTGGTAGCAGCAGGATGGCGCACCTGCACATTTTGCACAACCGGTTCGTGCCTATCTGAACGAGACATTCGGTGGACGTTTGATCGGTCGCGAAGGACCGACAGAATGGCCCGCGCGATCACCGGATTTGAATCCCATGGAATTTTTCCTATGGGAATACTTAAAGCGCAGCGTTTATAGAACGAAACCCAGCAACATGGATGAACTGAAAGCTAACATTGTGAACGAATGTAGACAGATTTCGTTCGAGACCTTGCAGAAAGCGCTCGCCAACACTATCCGGCGAATGATCCTCTGCAGCCGAAATGACGGTGAGCACTCCGAAGATCTAATTCGTTGATATTTACCGGCATTGCACACATTTCATGTAAATAAAAGTAAAGAAATGGATAAATGTACATTCCCCATTGTACACGAGAAACATCATCGAAGGCCTGATCCATTTATACAACTAGCCATTGTCTGACTGTGAGGGCAATAGTTGCATTCATGACTAAATTGGTGTGCTGCCTAACGTTGTCACCAGTGCGTCGTGGCAGACTGAAAGCTAACAGCATTGTCACGTCAAGTCAAGTCAAGTTAGGAATTCGTTTTTATGCACCCATGAAGCGTGCATTTTCAGCTGTAACACAGACGCGATCGAAATGGTAAAACGAACAACACTGTAACTTTCTAATGTGCTCCCGGCAGAATGATTGCCTTTAGCAGCGAAAGCAGCCTACTAAAAGTTTACGGGTTTGTTGGAAGCCAGTCATGAGGCGATAACAGCTTTTGTGGCGATAGCAATACAGCGTCCATCGACCGATCATCACATACGGCCCGGCTGTTTTTCTCAATTGCTAGCACAGCGCCCCACTAACCACTTGGCAGGGATCCCTTTTGCTGATTTTTCACCTGCGTGAAGGCCGACTACCGATCGATCGAAGCATAACACGTTCAGTGCGGCTATGTGGTGTCTGGCTCACGTCCAGTTCTCACAGCCGAACGACTTGCGGTGGGTTGTTCTTGCCCTGCGGTCGAGGCATGACGCATTCATTGCGGCTGTGGTGTTTGCTAATGTTCAGTTCTCACAGCCGAACATCTCAGTGTGTTCCGCGATCGTAGGCACACATGTCGCGTCTCTGTGTGCCATCTCATCACCGCCGGCAAAGCAATTTGCGCTATTGGACAGTTAGCAATTCAGCGTACATCAGCACCTGAGTGCAGTCGCTCCTAGCTCCGGACAAGATTAATAAAACGCCCTGTACATATGTTGTCACTAATTAGTATCCTGGAATTTTTTCAGTAAAATGTTTTGGATAACTTGATTTCACTGAGTTTAAAATTCCTACAGTTTTGGAGAAACATAAGCGATCAGCAGACGAATCAGCTTTTGGAAAGTAATAACTTTCTTATTCGCTCCACTCTTGCTCTGACTAGGTTCGGTGTGAGAAGTCCTGGCAGAACACTGGTAATTATATTCACTTTATCAGGAAGCTAACCGAGCTAGCAGGTCGTCATGTGTTGGCTAAATACCTCACTTGCACCCAGTTTATTAACCCTATAATTTTTATTCACACCCGTCTTGCTCGAATAATCATTTGATGGACAGCGGTTTGGCGACATACACATGTAGAGGTTGTGTTTCAGCTAACATTGCTTTTTGCTAATGGATCATGTGCTACTAAATTATGAAGACCTAAGCGCATACTAAACCCTAGTAAGACACAATGTTTGATTAACAAAGAGATCGGTCGAAGTTGTAGCGGCAGTAACTGACCACTGTATGGCCATGGTATATTATTGTGCATAGCTGTACAGTCATGCTTCAGGATGAATACGCCTCATTGAGGAGGCTCTCAAAAGTTGTGGTTTTGCAGTAGAATAAGCGGATGGAACACGGTAACCATTCCAACCAAGTACACAGTTTCGATTAGGAAAAGAGTTTTTGGACAAGGAGTGTTCTTGTGTGGAATAGCAAGTAACGTCAGGCTCTCTAGAGCACATTGAACCGTTTCCAAGCTCAGCAACTTTGTCTCCCTTAACTGATTCGACTGCTGGTGAACAACAGCATCGGTGCGAGCGGTGCTTGGATTCTGTGGCTCCCGTTTGAGAATTCATGTGATGATCTGACTCTGGCTGCAGCAGATATGAGTTGGGAATCCCAGTGCATTGACCATGAGTGAGCATGTCTCCACAACCACGGTTAAAAGGAACTGTGTCCACTTGATTAAAGCTGAAACTAGTCGAAACGTGTGAGGAACACCGACTGTGTTTCATCGTTGGGGGACGCGACTCTTTCGCGGAGTTGGAAGGTTGTAAGCGAGTAGTAAAGACCGGTTTCTTGCACGCCGATCTCGTGCTCGTTCTTTTCCTGTTTCTTGTCTTTCTTACTTGCTTATGCGCTCGTTTTATTGGAACTGATGTGTCCACTTTGTCGTGCGTTTTGTTTTTTCCCATAAATTCAGGGGATGAAAAATGCTGGTTTGCATCTGTTTGCCAGGTGGTCTTCGTAGAAACTGTAGAGCTGAGCTTCTCCGAGTCATGTGATACTAGGCTACCTTCGTGACAGGATGAACCAGATGTTGAGCTCCTTGATAGGGCTGCATTCGTTACATTGGAAACTTTCTCTAGGGCCTCATTCTGATAATGTACAACGGACGAGGTGGGTCCTCCGTGATTCTCCTTTTCGAGTGACGATTTTCTAGGCGAAGCACAACAACACAGGCTGAATTTCTTACCTTTGTCAATGCTAACATTGATTGGTATAGATGCATTGCTTCCACTATGACAGTCATGTTTCGGAGAAGTATTCACGGTGCAGGATTCTTCCGGTGGTGAATCGGGTGTTAGAACTTGCTCAAGTGAAGAAGCCAATCCGCTATCGGTGGAGGGGCTGTGATTCAACGTGATTTCATCGGAACTCAGCCGTCCGGCTGCATGTGTATCATTCCTTTTATAGGCCCTCTCGCCAGCAGTATCACCACAACCCATAAAAATGTCAACAGATTGATGAAGTTTCGTGTATTGGGAGAGTAGTTCTTCCAACTGTTGTTCATTTGCATCGCAGACGAATTTCCAGAAAATTTCAGTAGACACTGGCGTACCACTCAAAACCGGTGTGGAAGGTACTCGACGAGTTGCTTCCATCACCGTTTCATATTGGTAAATTTCAATGAACTGGGTCAGCGCTTTCACCAGAGCACGCTTCCGCTTTGCCAGGTGATGACAGCGATCCGGGATATCCACTTCGATCAGGTATCTGGTACCGTTGGAGCTGTCCGCACTTTCGGCGCCCACCTCTTTGTGGCACACAGCCTCGATAGCTTGGCTCGAAAGTTGATTACATGCTTTACGAAGAAAACGCGTGAGCAAGTCTATCTGATTATGTTTCTGCGTCACGTTCATTCGTATAGAAGGCGTACCAGTATTGTGCAACTCATTCGACTCAGTCATCCAGCGAGATCTGATCCTAGATAGATACGCAGTAAACAACTGCCTGGCTTGGAAAGCTGAAATTTGAGCCACAGAGATGGTAGGGGCAATATTTTCCGAATTGAGTAATGTTCCTTCAGTGATCTCCGGAACAGGATTTACAACGCTAACCGAGTCGCTTCCCGAAGCGGAACCTGTGATGCTATGCGAAAACAAGTCACAGTCAAGCGTCTGAGGTGTTGGGGTTTGTTCCCTATGCATCACAAGCGAAGCGGTTGTTGTTCTGGAAGTACTTCGAAATGGCTTCTCAACACGTGGCCGTTGGGCGTAGACAAGGTTTATGCTCTGTACGTGGCTCAGTAGAACCCCCGGCAGTTCAAATGGATGTTCACCTAGTTTCCTCAAAAAGAAAGGCATTCGTGTAAGCGTGTTGGCATAACATTCGGTTACGCTATTGCGCGGTTCCCTGGATTGAAGTGTGTCAGACACCACATCTGGTACTCCGCACAGATGCTGACGCAAGTGTGTTTGAGATAAACTGTGAAGTGGAATCTTGGAAGAGTTTATTGCAGCAAGTGTTGGCTTATGGTTGTTGCAAAAGTATGTAGAGTTCTCATGCGAAGCGTCGTTCTCGCTGTTAATTCCTCTCAGATAAAACTGAAGGTTAACGGGTATGAAGGAGCTGTTCGGATGTATGGAGTCTAAGCTATGTTGGGATTTTGTTTCAGTGGATACCCGATCGTTACTAGTTGAGACCTCATGTCTTTCAAACACTGCATTGTGCATAATAGTCTTCAAAGTGTGCACAGCAAACGCAGCTATGTAAGCAGAAGAGATTGGTGGGCATAGACCATGGTTGTAGTCACTAGCACGTATTCTGCTATGATTCAAATTGTGCACGCTCCCAGTTACTTTGCTCTCGCTGGACCGGTGGGCGCATGAGTTGTTTTGAGGCCAAAGGCTAGCGTATTGTTCCCAGGTTTCCGGATTAGGTAGCAGTCTGAGCCATCCACCAGCTCGTGAATTCTCTTCCTGCAAACGACGAGTCAGCCGTACATCCTCCTGCGTTACGCCTTCAGGTAGTAAGTGGGAAACCACGGTTCCGTTTAGAATATCAACTGAGCTACATGGGTTGACGTGTTTGTCCGACAGGTTCACATGAATCTTGACCGCTTTGGAGTGATCCTGTGCGTCTGAAAATCAGTGAAGGTTGAAATTTCATCACAGATTTACAATCCTATTAACTTAACGTCTCGCATGCAATATGAAAGCTGCAGTTAAATCAAGAAAGCTAAGTGTAAATGATAACAGGTTTCTAAGGCTACTTTGGCCTTGAATAAAACAATTGCGCGGTTAGGCGAAAGATGTACGATTGGTTCACATCTACCACACCAGTAGGTAAAGTTTACGATGAGTATCGTGGATGCAACTTATGCGTATATGCTATAAATACTACTGCACTATATTACTGCATATATCATCTACTGCAGGAGGACAAACGGTCTATAGCGCATTAGCTGTCTGAGGACCTCCTAGCTAAAGGGAAGTAACCTGTTTATTTACGAAGTGAAACGCTAATGCATCAGTTCAGTTGATTTAACAGATATCCCTATCCACAGAATGTCAATATTCGCACCTCTTCGAGCAGAACAAACCACCTCAACAGCTACAGCATTCTCTAGCTCCCTGATGCATCATTCTGAGCACACCCAGTTACAGTTTTCTCTACCACGCCCTGTTATTCTCAGTAGATTTATTGTTCTCCGTATAAATGCATTGCTAATGGTTACGCGAGTAACTTGAAGTAACCACATCCCAGACATCCGGAATAATTGAGTCTATGCGAATGAATGTGCGGCAAGCTGTCACCGCCCTTCAATACCTCCAACAGTGTAAGACAAGAATGCCCGCTGTCACCGTTCCTCTTCAACTTCGCGATTGATAAATTGCTGGAGACCGAGTTCACAGGGCATGGCTTAGAAGGTGTGGAGCTGTCCCCAGGAGAACGACTTCTTGACTTAGAGTTGCCGACGATATTGCCCTCATCTGTGACAGCTCTCAAATGTGCCAAGCTGCCATGGACAGATTAGCACTGGCTGGCAGCCGCTTCGGGCTTTACTTTGCACCCACGAAGTGTAACGCTTTCCCCAAGATTGGCAGGGACCAATTCCTGCGTTGATCCTTGGTGGGGATCCGCTAGAACTCGTTTCAAAGTTCAATTACCTAGGCAGTTGTATCAGCGCCCTTGGGATCGAAGACCAGACCACGAACGGTATAGCAAAAGTTCGAGGCGCTTTTGCTAACCTTCACCACCTATGCGACCGGCGCGACATCACTCTCCTTGGAGGGTAGAGTGTAAAATGCAGCCGTACATTCGACCCTACTGCACGGTTGTGAAACCTGGCCCGTTAGATCGGCCGATATAAAGAGGCTAGTTACATTTGACCACAGGTCCCTTCGTGGTTTGGCTCATATCTGGTGGGAACACCGTGTGAGCAATGAGCTTGCTCGACACCTTGTTTATTACACAGGAATAAGAAGCGAAACGCCTAGCACTGTTATTCCACACACCAGACTCCGAGGACCAGGCTACGTGTTACCCATTCCAGCCCACTGACTGCCGCGACGCGCTTTGTTTGCTGGTCGGGGGGTGGATGGAAGAAGAAGAGAGGTGGTCAAGCGATGAGTCGGTAAAGGGGAATGAAGGCTCTAACTGCGAAGTTGGTCTCGGTTGGAGCCTCTCCGCTTCCTGGTTGGGACCGAAGGACAATGAACACGTTTGGGCTGGATACACCTGTTGGCATAACAAGGAGCCGACCCCAATGGCTTTTGTGTTGTGAGTTTTTTTGTCCCTCCCCTCCCTTTTACCCGCCTTCTCCAACCACGAGCTCATTTATTGGGCACAAGATAACTTCATTACGGCACGATAGCCGGCTGTTAGCTCTTCGGAAGGATGTCCATTTGTTATTGGTGACTCAGCCGGCGTGACTCAGTTGCATCTTTTTTACTTTTCTTTTGTATTGCAGCATAATAGCTAAGATGTTGTCCACCTGCAACCAACGTTTGCAAGGATGATGATGAGACCAGAGAGTTGTCATTTGAAGGTACATGCACTGCAGCTTAACTTTGATCGTTTATACCTATGCAATAAACTCCGGACTACTAGGACCTACGCTAACTTTTCTCTGTTTCCGTTCACCACATCTGCTTCACTAAAATGCTTGTTTGATTCGTCCAAACTTCATCAATCCTTCTTGGTGCTCCATGAGGCACACTTCAAGCATCTAAGCAGCGTGGCGTAAATGGTCGAACGCGGTACGAGCAACCCTGACTAAGGTACCTACACTTCATGCCATTAGCCCAAAATACTGACAAAATGATTCAGACAACTAAAACAACTATACCACCTGATTCAGGCAAGTGCCATATTTTAACTTGATCCCAGCATGTGCCCTTCGCTGAGGAATCCTGTAGTAATCATCACAGCGCATACAACACGCAGGTTGAAAACCTTGAAGTAACAGAATTATGACATAGTGACCCGCTTGGTTGCTTTATAGGGCTTCCAACCCAGAAATATTCGCACACAGAAGGTCTTTTGACCACTTTTAATTATTCCGAACCGGAGTTTGAGGTAACTGACATGCGTGATTTACGGATTCCGACTAAAATACCACAACTTATACTGGGACGAGTGCGAACCCGCAGCCCAGTTACCCACAAATTGGAATGGTCCACATAATGCTGTGCTCACGACGATGTGCATCTACAGTGAAATATCATTCGCTTTAATTCATATGCATGATAACGTTGATCTTCAAGGAAGAACAGCAATCACGTCAGATTTCGTATGATGCGCACAAGGCAGCCGCCACAATTCTCTGCTCGCTCTCGACCCAAAAAAGCATTACAGAATATTTACAGCATTCAGTTTTAGTAAAGTCAGAATGTTAGATTCCGTAGGTCCACGGTCTAAACTCGAGCACGTCAAGCCAACCATAGAGTAGGAACGTTTCGGCTTGAAGGGCAGAAGACATTGCCATAGATGGTGACGCATGTGGCTTCAAGGTTGTATGTCTCAAATATGTGCATTGATCAGCCAATTTGGATCGTGCAACATAGTATACCTAGTTTCTTTTAGTTATGAGCAGAGCTATTTCAGATACCTTTAGTTGGACGTCCGCTTCCTTCTCAAGATTTACTAAGGGAAATTTCATCGAACCTGTTCATATTTCGTTAACGACGAGACTGCTTTGAGCCATGATATCGACATTTATAGCCGCCATGCGTTTTGCGAGACGGTGCAATGATTAAAATAGTCTGTACGGTTATATGCGAAGGCTCTATAACTTGGGAAACAAGGAAACGGATAACGTAAACGTGGTGTTGTCTGACAGCAATACACGCAGTGATTGCATGGACAATCGAATATTTAAGCATAGTCACCGATTGATGTAAACATTACCCTTGCTGACATGGTAACTTCAGACTTTAGAATGTGGACGAAAGTTGATGAATCCACATAAATGTCTTAGGCGGGTACAGACTGCATTGCCAACACAAAGTCCGACAGCTCAGAACCATGAAACAAAGAGTAACGCCACGCACGAAAGAGGAGAAAGCGTGGTACCACCTAAAAACACCCAATAGAAATTGCGCGGATTTCGCGTACTTTACTATAAGTTATCAGATTACTTTAGTCCCACAGTTACTCTTGTTTCCTTGCAAGTTTCATGGAGCTTTATCCACGTGAAACAGCATAGACATCATCACTGTCAAAAAGACAACAGATTACTTAGGAGTAGAAGGATTTTAGTGAGTACTTTTGTTCGTCGCAATCAGTCGACAATTCAGCTAAGTTGACTATCTATCCCGAAAAGCACCAGACAGCCGTTTCGCCCTATTAGTGCTCGTCAGCGGTGCGCATTCTTCGGTACTCTACGGAGGATCGAACCCATGGCTGCTAGTGGCTTGTGGCAACTAGTCCGCAGTTTATGCAACTGCGCCATGGAGAACGGTAGCCGATCATCACGAATTGTTAGCTAATTGCGATATAGCCCGACCCATCCTCCGCTGCCATGCAGGCATCTGCCATGCAGATGACAGCGGTTGGCCTTCCGGCGTCAGGACTCCCGGTTACGGCAGCTATGAATCGACGTAGCATTTATGGAATCCACAAGGGCGAATTCGTATTACTTATGAGTAGAAGAATTGTGTTGAGTATTTTTGTTCGTCGCAATCAGTCGACAATTCAGCTAAGTTGACTACCTATTCGGAAAGCAACCGACGGCCGTTTCGCCCTATTGGGGCTCATCAGCGGTGCGCATCCTTCGGTCCTCTACGGAGGAGCGAGCCCATGACTACTAGTGGCTTGTGCCAACTAGCCCGCAGCTTATGCAACTGCACCATGGAGAACCTTAGCCGACCATCACGAATTGTTAGCTAACTGCGCTATAGCCCGACCCGGTAGGTGTCTGCATGGCAGGGGAGGATGGGTCGAGCTATATCGCAGTTAGCTAACAATTCGTGACGTTCGGCTACCGTCCTCCATGGCACAGTTGCATAAGCTGCGGGCTAGTTGGCACAAGCCACTAGTAGTCATGCGTTCGCTCCTCCGTAGAGGACCGAAGGATGCACACCGCTGACGTGCCCCAATAGGGCGAAACGGCCGTCTTGTGCTTTTCCGGATAGGTAGTCAACTTATCTGAATTGTCGACTGATTGCGACGAACAAAAATAAAGACAACAGAATTTCTACCATTCGAACTGCTATTTTCAGGTCGTAACAAATGGCTACTTATGGAACAAAATCATATAAAGGGGAGCGAAAACCGATGTAGGCTGGAACCTTCATGCACTAAGCAAACATTCAGGATTAAGGCGCCTACACCTTGTGCCACCAACATGCCGTTACCAACAACTGGCTATCGTATAAACATAAGACGATATCGTTGAGACAGTTTCAATAAACCATGAATTTATACGGGTTGGAAAGCTTTGCTTTACAAGTCCCCTTGGATACTTGGTGAGGTTATCAAAACAACAATAATGATACTAAAGCTAGTAAAACAATCAGTACTTTAAATATGAAAATAAGGACTTATCGTTTGCTCCGTCGTAGTCCTGCAATCCGCGGTGATTCACAGCACCCACAGTTAACATCAAATAAATCCATGGTAAACATCAAGAGTAGG